AACACGAACACATCCTGGTTCAATTACTTTGCCAGGGGTGTATTTCACCGCAATCTGACGTCCATCAAGGTGCTTAAATGTGAACTGAAATCCACAAAGAGCTTCAACAAGTCCTATCTTATATGTCATGTGCAAATCATTCCCGTCTCTCTGGAACACCTCATGCTCTTTTTCTTGTAGCAAAAGAACAATGTGTCCTAGTTCCACTCCTAGGGCCTGGTCTGCTTCCCCAGTAAATGTAATTCTCTGTCCATGTTTCATGCCTTTGTCTACGTGGACTTCAAGAATCTTGCCTTCTTTAATCACTTTCTTCCCTTCACATTTTTTACAGCGGTCCTTTTCATTAATTACCTCTCCTTCTCCATTACAGTCAGAACACACAGACTGCATCTGCTGTACCATCCCTGGAGCCAGCTGTCTGATCATGATGCGTACACCTCGACCCCGACAAGCACTACACTTCTGAACAGCTCCAGACTTCCCACCTTGGCCACTGCATGCACTACAGAATACATTCTTGCTAATTTGTAGTTTGGTTGTCTTACCATTATACAGGTCTTCTAAAGATACTTTGAGTGGACACATCATGTCTTCTCTTCTTCTGCCATTTCGACTTCTGCTCTGATTACACATGAAGCTAAATAATCCTCCACCAAAAATGTGAGAGAAAATATCATCCATGCCACCACCTCCACCGCTACCTTCCCAAAGACCTTGTTCTCCATATCTGTCATATAGTTCGCGCTTCTCAGGATTTGATAGTACTTCATATGCAAAACTTATTTCTTTGAATTTGTCACCAGCATTTGGATTCTTATCAGCACGGTATTCTTTGGCTAACTTTCTGTATGCCTTCTTCAGCTCGTTCTCTCTGGCGCCAGGCGGGACGCCCAGGATGTCGTACAGTTTCGTGTCGGCCACGTTCACCATGGCGGCCGGCCGGGCAGCGCTCAGAAAAGAAGGCGGAGAAGCAGGAGGAGCGGAGCCGGGCCCTAAGTGGCGGCAGAGAGTCAGGGAGGCTTTCTTATCTCTCCTTGCTATTCTTTGGAACTCTGTATTCAATTGAGTATATCTTTCCTTTTCTCCTTTGCTTTTCGCTTCTCTTCTTTTCACAGCTTTTTGTAAGGCCTCCTCATACAGCCATTTTGCTTTTTTGCATTTCTTTGTCAAACAATTGGGGAGCTACTAATTCCAAATTATTCAGAGCAGGTTGGCAGGGAATGCAAGCAGGATTCCTATGTTACAGTTTTAAGGCAAAATTCCCTCTTGAGGATATCTCAGTTTTCTCTCAAGGCCTTCAGCTGGGGGCTGAAGGATGAGCGGATGGCTGATGGCTGATGGATGAGGCCCACCCATTATGGAGGGTAATATCCTTTGCTTAAAGTCAACAGTTTGATGATGGGAAGTCCCAGAGCAGACCTTTGATAACCTTTATGCAGACTGTGCCCTGCTGGTCATCTCCCCCATCCAGATGGCCTCTGGCCAACTGCTGTTTGCCAGCCTCCTCACAATAAACTGTGTGAAAATTCTGAGATGGGACTACCAGACCACCTGACCTGCCTCTTGAGAAACCTATATGCAGGTCAGGAAGCAACAGTTAGAACTGGACATGGAACAACAGACTGGTTCCAAATAGGAAAAGGAGTACGTCAAGGCTGTATATTGTCACCCTGCTTATTTAACTTATATGCAGAGTACATCATGAGAAACGCTGGGCTGGAAGAAGCACAAGCTGGAATCAAGATTGCCGGGAGAAATATCAATAACCTCAGATATGCAGATGACACCACCCTTATGGCAGAAAGTGAAGAGGAACTAAAAAGCCTCTTGATGAAAGTGAAAGAGGAGAGTGAAAAAGTTGGCTTAAAGCTCAACATTCAGAAAACTAAGATCATGGCATCTGGTCCCATCACTTCATGGGAAATAGATGGGGAAACAGTGGAAACAGTGTCAGACTTTATTTTTTTGGGCTCCAAAATCACTGCAGATGGTGATTGCAGCCATGAAATTAAAAGACGTTTACTCCTTGGAAGGAAAGTTATGCCAATCTAGATAGTATATTAAAAAGCGGAGACATTACTTTTTCAACAAAGGTCTGTCTAGTCAAGGCTATGGTTTTTCCAGTGGCCATGTATGGATGTGAGAGTTGGACTGTGAAGAAAGCTGAGCGCCGAAGAATTGATGCTTTTGAACTGTGGTGTTGGAGAAGACTCTTGAGGGCCCCTTGGACTGCAAGGAGATCCAACCAATCCATCCTAAAGGAGATCAGTCCTGGGTGTTCACTGGAAGGAATGATGTTGAAGCTGAAACTCCAATACTTTGGCTACCTCATGGGAAGAGTTGACTCACTAGAAAAGACCCTGATGCTGGGGGGGATTGGGGGCAGGAGGAGAAGGGGAAGACAGAGGATGAGATGGTTGGATGGCATCACCAACTCTATGGACATGAGTTTGAGTAAACTCTGGGAGTTGGTGATGGACAGGGAGGCCTGGCGTGCTGCGATTCATGGGGTCGCAAAGAGTCGGACACGACTGAGAGACTGAACTGAACTCAACTGAACTAGTTCAATTCACAAATCTCTTTTCCATTTCTTGCCTCAGGATGGTTTCCCCAACTCCTGAACTTCCCACTGACTTCTTAAATTTCCATTGTCTTCCGGCCCAAGCTCTTTCCCACATCTGTACTTATTTCTTCTCTACCATCTCTACTTTCTTAGGGTTTCTTGCTGGTTTCAGCATATTCACAAGGTCCTAAAGGATAGCAATCATGTTCCTTCCTTAGAGGGAAGGCTCAGTTCCCTCTTAGAGGGAAATCCTGTTCTGGGCGCAGGACAGAGATGAAAACACCCAGGGAGAAGGCAGAGGGGAGACAAACTGGTAGTGATGCCGACTGCCAACAGCCTACCGCCATTAAGGAAGAGGGCAATCATTTTTTTCCATGTCGTCACCAAGCATTCCTCCCATACACTTTCAGTTATGACACGTATCCTGACGGGTTCACAAGAGCGAGTGTCCGAAACTTTTTTTTTTTATAACTCTCAGAGATCCAGTAATTGGGTTTAGTGCTATCTGTCAACGCCTTTAGTCCTGAACCACTAGAAACGAACCTGTAGCGTCCTAGCACTGCAAGGTAACCCGGAGACGCCCGGCACGCGCGCGGAGGCGGCTCACGGGGGCACGCTCAGGGATGTGACCTCCTGGAGTCGCCGGAAGCCGGGCGCGCCTGAGCGTCCAGTTCCGGGCGCCGAGTTCCAGCGCTCCTGTCTGGTGAGTCTCCTGTGGCGTCCCTCCGCCTTGTTCTCGGGTTCAACCCTGCGAGACCCCAGACTTACTGGGCCGCATGAAACAGCCAGCACCAGCCCTGGTTCCAGCTCGGGGACACCCGGTGCCTGGAGAGGCTGGCAGCAGGCATCTGTCTGAGAGGCTTTGGGAAGGTTGGCCCCAAACCCCTCAGCCAGGCTCCTGTCCTGGGTTTGGGGGTCCCCTTTTTGGCAACCATGCTTCCCACACTCTGACGAAACCAGAACCACCACTACTGTGTGAACGAAGTGGAATTCCGCTCTCCGTTTTGCAAGATTAGCACGAAAACATCAGTAATTTTCTGGCTGTGGTTCGTAACTTTTCCTTTCCCACAGGTTGGATTGTATGTACTCAAATGTGGAAAAACTGTGCCAAGTGATTAGAAATTTTTGTTTTAGGCAGGGGCCACATCCACATACTTAACGCCGGATTTTGGAGAAATGTTCCATTAAGTGCAAGTCTTCATCCCACCCTACCCCCGGCAATTATATATTTTTACTTATCTCCTTCACATATTATACACTTTTCATATTGGTTGTGTTTATTTTACTGTTTCAACTAGAATGGACACTCTGCTAATGCATTTCAAACACCTTGAACTGTTTCTGTGCAAGGTAGGCTTCTAAAACATATTTGTGGGTTTAGTGAATTAATAAAATTAGTTATCTTGGTTACAGGTCGTCTTCTTTCTTGTGTGGGTTCTTTGAAATATTTGCCATGTATCCCTTTATCACTTAATTCTTATTCCCCAGGGTGCCCTCAGAAGCCTTCAGTTGAAACTTCAGGCATGATGGTTGTGGACACAAGAAAGTCTGCTGGTCAGCTGTTCCAAGCCCCATGGGGTCAGCAGGGCCCTATGATGGTGACAGTGAAGCTGGAGGAAGACCACCCCAGGAATCAGGGTCTCAACCTTCCAGAGAACCAGCCTCCTGCCCGGGAGATCTTCAGGCAGCAGTTTAGGCACTTCTGCTACCAGGATTCCCCTGGACCCCGGCTTTCCCTGAGCTGGCTCCAGGAGCTCTGCCATCAGTGGCTCAGACCAGAGACACATACCAAGGAGGAGATCCTGGACCTGCTGGTGCTGGAGCAGTTCCTGTCCATCCTGCCCCAGGAGCTCCAGGTCCCGGTTCAGGAGCATCATCCAGACAGTAGGGAAGAAGCAGTGACCATGCTGGAGAATCTGGAAAGAAAGAGAAATGTACAAATAGGAAGAGACAAGTCTGATGTGGTTGTGGGGAACTGGGAGCAAAACTTTCTCAAGTGTGGAGGCTCTGAGAACAGTGGGAAAACCTAGCATTCAGCAAGGAACTGAGCTGCTTTCTAAGCCAGTCCTGTAAGGAGGGGAAGGGTGGGAAACAGGAGATTCAGGGATGGAGTAAAGATGCTGAAGGCATTCTGTAAGTATCATGCCATGTACTATACTGGTCATTTCAACATTCACAGCAACAAAGAACTAGGTGGTATCACATATGGCAACTAAGTTCAGAGAGGTTGTGTAACTTAGCGGAGGAGACGTAGCCAATAAATGAAATGATAGAGACAGGATTTGATCAGACTTTCTGATCAAAAGGTAAGCATCACTTACCTTTCTGGCTACCTTTTAGCACCCTAACGCCCTGGTTTCTCTTCTAGTTTCTCCAGGGATGTTTCTTGGAGACTCTTTTCTGAGGTTTAGTTCCTGTTAAATTCAGGCCTAATGAGTGCCACTTGTCTCTAGGTTTCAGCTTGTGCTCTGGAACAGAAGATACTTTTGCAGACAATGACCCTTCAAACACTAGATGAAGAATCTTCATATACCCGAGTTCAGCCCCCAGCAGTCCAGTTCAAGGGCAAAAGACCTGAGCCCCGACCATCAGAGGAAACAGGTGAGGCAAGAATTTCTCTAGGGAATTTGGAATGAAATGAAGTCCCCCCATTTTTTTTTTTTTTGTGAAGTATGACATGTTAATTCCTTGTGACGAGAGTTGTTAAAGGATATGACAAAGCTGACATTTTAGGTAATAATGATTAAAAGGTGATAAGTCATCTCAGAACAGCCTCTGTAGTATGTTAATTTTAAATATGCATAGTTGAATTTTCTGCAGATCATCTGTAGCAGATGTTACTTTCAAGTATTTTGATGCTTACATCCTTACGTAGACTCTGATAGGGCATTAACATTGTAAAACTATATTGACTGTTTTGAAAGTTACCTCTTATTATTACCAGAGAAGTATATATGCATTGTAGAAAGTTAGAAAATACAGAGTTGCAAAATAAGAAAACAAGCATAATATTCTATCATCCAGAGATTACAATGACTTTTTTTATATTTGAATATCTTTTGTATGCATATATGTGTATACACACATTCCTTTCACTGAAAAGAGATCATTTCTATGTGCTATTTTGTAATCTATTTTGTTCAGTTAATTATCTTCCCTTTTCCTTGGCAATACATTTTAATGTTATCTAAACTCAGTGCAAATTCAAATTGGTCCATTTTTTCCAAAATGTCTTTAAAGCTGATTTGTGCAAACCAGGATAGAATCCATGGCTGTGGGAGACATCTGGTTGCTTTAGAACAGTTTCCCTTTCCCATTTTCCCTTTCATGGCCCAGACATTTTCATGACCCTGGGCAAGTTTCCTATTCTGTGAAGCTTTCTGGTTGCTTCCTCGTTGAATCATTTATTTTGCTGCCCATGTATGCTGTATTTCCATAAAATGGAAAAAAGATTGAAAGACATGGCAATATGATTCCTCCATTGAACAGCTAATTTTTCCCGTTTATAACTGTGTGGTGTCACTTTGGCAGTATGTGATTGGCTAGTTTCCCAGCAACAAAATACAAAATGTTTGAGAATTCTTCTATGGGTCAATCATTTTATTAAGTGTTGCAGAATGATTTTGTAACTCTTTCATTCCTTCTATGTTATTAACTGTTAGTCTTCTTTATAGTGAAGAAATCATCAAATCATCTGTTTGATCACTTCGTATTAGACAGTCAAGATTGATGCTTAGTTTACCCCCGTATATACCAATTTTCAAATTCAAGGAATGGTTTAATAGGCACCTCAAAGGACAACATGGGATTTTAGGACTTTCTTTGTGTTAGTATCATTATGGGCTAGTAATTTTCATTGAGTCAGTGTGTTTCAATCTACCACAGTTATTACTTGTTTTAAAACTCAGATTGATACGTCTTTGTCTAGTTTGGATGTCTTCTGCCCTGTTCCTCACTCTTTTTGCCATGACCCTATGAGCTTTGAATCCTTGCTTTCTGAACAAAATTGATTATTCCATGCTCACCTTGTACTTTCCCTAGACCCAGATTTGGTATCAACCCTTTCTGAAGGAGCTTTAATTCTTCTTAATGGAGAAGGCTATTGAAGTACAAAATCTGGATGCTGGGAGTGTTCTTTTTCCCTCGGGTAACAATACTTCTAGCATTTGATGGGTGGAGCTAAATGTACTTTTTTTTTTTTTTCTCCTAAAAATTATGAGTTCATATTGGTGTATTCAGTTTTGTTTTACCATTACAATGTTCCATTATTTTTCTATATCATATTTTGTCTCTGCATTTACTTTTGTTAATTCATTCCTTATGTTCTCCCTTGTTTTTAAAATTTATTTATTTCAGATTATAGTAGTTTGTATCAGAAATGTTCCCAGGAAGCTTAAGCAGGGGGAATGAGACAGAAGAGAGAAAAGTGTTCCTAAATGAGCAGATTCTCTTGGTTAATTAGTTGTCCTTTTTAGTTTTTAATCTTTGAGCTGAATCGATCTGTATATCTACTACTAATATAAATATTTGATGCTACAAATATTTCATTGAACACTGGTTTTGATGAATCCCAAATGTTTTGAAATGTAGCATTTTAGTTATTTTCTAGAAAATCTGAAACTTATTTTTCCTTTGAACCAACAATTGAAAGTTTTAAAATTTTCAGATGGAAGGGCTTATTTTCTGATTCTGTTACTAATTGTAGATTTATTGTTATCAGAGAATGCTTGTGTTGTTTACACCTTTTGGAGTTTATTATGGTTTTCCTATGACCCAAAAATTAATTTTCATTAAAGGTCATTGAACATCTGAGAAGGTGTTCTATTTTCCAGATACAGAACTTGATATACATGTTTATCCATAGATTAAACAATCTTGTCAATCTTCTGAATGTTTATTTTTTTGTCCATTTGGTGGTTTTTTCTAGACAGAGAAAGGAATGATTAAAGTCTGTTATTTAAAAATAAATAAATGAAGTCTGTTATTTGTTTTGTCTCTTTATCTCATCTATAATTTCTGCTCTAGAAAATTTGTTCCTTTGTTATTTTCTATGTAATTATTCATATCTGTTCCATGGTCACTATAAATTTTAAAGTTTATTTATCGTTATAAAGTATTTTTCTTTGTCTCATTTCATGCTCTTGGCTTGAATCTCACCTTTTTTCTGAAATTGAGATCATGATGCCTTTCTTTTTATTTGCATTTGCTCAATTTTCTCTTGCTCATCCTTTATTCATAACTTTACTCAATCATTTTATCTTAGATGTGTATCTTGTATATTTAGTGTAATTGAATTTTTCTCTGCTCAATTAATGACCACAAAGTTAGCAATTAAACCACACACATTTATTATCTCATAGTTTCTGTGGGTCAAGAGTCTGGGTATGTGGCTTAGCTGGGTCCTCCACTTCTGGATCTCTTACAAGGTTGCTGCCAAAGATAGGTTCTCACCTGAGTTGTGACTGAGGAAGGATCCACTTCCAACCTCACATGGATGTTGGCAGGACTCAGTTCTTTGGCAGTCACACAGATAGAGGGCCTTACTTCCTTCCTGGTTGCTGACCACCTTCAGTTCCTTGCCACATGGGCTTCTCTATATGGTGGCATTCTTAATCAAAGCCAGCAAACCAGAAAGGAAGAGTGTCAATAAAGAAAGTCTTATGGTAGGTGGAAATTACAGTCTTAGGTAATCACAGAAGGGACAGCCTATCAATTTTACCATATTGACAAATCAGCCATGCTTTATTCTTTCTCACCTGTATTACTGTTTACACCTCTATTACTCCCATTCCTTTTATTTGGCTCACCTGTTTCTCTGAATCCCTGACACTAAATAAAGAAAAGATAGAAAGTGCTCTATTAAATCTGAAATAAACATTAACCCTCCTAGCTCTGTCTGTTAAATCATTTTTGAGTTACCTTTTCTCCTCAAATTGTGTGGTGTGTTGTTTCAGACTTCCTGGTTGCTGACCACCTTCAGTTCCTTGACACATGGGCTTCTCTATATGGTGGCATTCTTAATCAATGCCAACAAACCAGAAAGGAAGGGTGTCAATAAAGAAAGTCTTATGGTAGGTGGAAATTACAGTCTTAGGTAATCACAGAAGGGACAGCCTATCAATTTTACCATATTGATAGATCAGCCATGCTTTATTCTTTCTCACCTGTATTACTGTTTACACCTCTATTACTCCCATTCCTTTTATTTGGCTCACCTGGTTCTCTGAATCCCTGACACTAAGTAAAGAAAAGATAGAAAGTGCTCTGTTAAATCTGAAATAAACATTAACCCTCCTAGCTCTGTCTGTTAAATCATTTTTGAGTTACCTTTTCTCCTCAAATTGTGTGGTGTGTTGTTTCAGATGGTGAGATGAGGACTGAGAATTTGGCATTAGAAGTGAAACAGGAACCTTGTGAAGAAACAGACTGGTGTAGGGAGGGGTCTGATGGACATCATGAAACTATATGTCAGCATGCCATACAGAGAGGAGACAATGAGCCTAGTGAAAGTTTGGAAATGCAGAATGGGGATGCCACAGGTGAGAAAATACATGACTGTGATGAATGTAAGAAAACCTTCACCTGGATGAGAGGCCTTCATATGCACAAGAGGATCCACAATGGGAAGAAACCATACTCCAGTACAGAATTTGGGCTTCACAGCAAGGAAAAGCCCGATCAGTGTAAAGAGTGTGGCAAAGACTTCAGTCAGAAAGCAGGCCTCTCTCAACATCTCAAAATCCACACTGTAGAAAAGCCTCATCAGTGTAATAAATGTGGCAGATGTTTTAGTCAAAGATCAGTTCTTTCAAAACATCAAAGTCTCCACACTGAAAAGAAACCTTTTGAATGTATATACTGTGGGAAAACCTTCTGCCATAGTGCAGACCTCACTGAACATAAACAATTGCACAACAGAGAGAAGCCTTATGAATGTAATGAATGTGGGAAAACCTTCAGGCAGCATTCAAATCTTACTGAGCACCAGCGAATTCACAGTAAAGAAAAACTTTATGATTGTAAAGTATGTGGAAAAGCCTTCACTCAGTATGCAGGACTTAACCAACACCGGAGAATCCACACTGGAGAGAAACCTTTTGAATGTCCTGGATGTGGACGAGCTTTTAGCCGAAGCTCAGAACTTGTAATACATCACAGAATTCACTCAGGGAAAAACCTTATGAATGTGCTGAGTGTGGAAAAACCTTTAGAGTGAACTCAACCCTGGTCATACATCAGAGAAGTCACACTGGGGAGAAGCCCTATAAATGTGATGAGTGTGGTGAAGCGTTCAGTCGATACTCAGGCCTTAACAAACACAAGTTAGGAGGAAAGCACAGAAACTCTCCTAAACTAAGAAAATATATATGTGATGAGTGTGGAAAGACCTTCACACAGTTAACTGGCCTGAGAAACCACAAAAGAATCCAGAATGGGGATAAGACCTACCAATGTCCTGAGTGTGGCAAGGCCTTTATAAGGGGAGAGCATCTTATTGAACATCAGGGGATTCACAACAAGGAGAAGCCTTATCAATGTAAAGAGTGTGGCAAAGCCTTCAGTCAGAAGACAGGTCTTAGTCATCATCTCAAAATCCACATAGGAGAGAAACCTTTTGAATGTTCTCAGTGTGAGTGAGACTTCAGCTGTAAATCAAATCTCAATAAACATAAAAGAGTCCACTCTGAGGAAAAATCCTATACATATAAATAGTGTGGAAAGGCCTATTAGGTAGAGAGCATTGCTAATCCAACATCAGAGAGGCCACATCCTGCTAAGCCTCAGCAGTGGTGTGAATGAGGTAAAGCCTAGAAGCTCAGCTCTGATTCGTCACCAGAGAATCCACTAAAATGACTCCTTGCCAAGATGTCTAGTGACAACTTCAAGTAGAATTCAGAATTTTTTTAAATTGAGGTGAAATGTTTCTTAAACTTCATTACTTAAAAAATGTCAGAGATACTGTGTTGAAAAGTTGTTTAAAGGTCATAAATGCTGGAAAAGTTGAGAATTTGGGAAAATAAACATCAACAAGAAATTTACCTATAATTACCTTTGTTAAATGCAATGGAGTGTCAGTTAATACAATGAAAAGGTAAACAAGGGCTTCTGTTAAAAAATTATTTTTTATGCTGAATTCATGAGTTTTTATGTTTTGCTTTTTGAAATCATTTTGATTTCTGAGTAGCCTTAGCCTAGTTTAATGTTGAAATTGCTTTTCACGGTACCAGTTGAGGTCACTGGAGTATCCAAGAGCTTGGAATGTGTGAGATCAGTTGTCTGTTTCTCTACCACCTTGTCTTCCTAACCAAGTCTCTGACCAGAATTGGGTGGCCTGCAGACCCTTCCCAATCCTGACATCTCCCCCCGGCAAACCCACCTCCCACCCCGCCCCAGAACTACCATTTCCTCATGAAAAAAGATGTGTTACATTCTAAGTGATGTGGAAGGCATAGAGGTTTGGGCCCACAGTACATCAAAGTCTAGTGTGGCCATCATGGCTAAAGCCTAGAGCACACATTTTTCATTGTGAACACAGCTCCTTGAGTTCAAACAGAGGACAAAAGAGAAGAGGAGAAAGTAAGCCTTTCATTCCAGCATTTTCCATCTCCTACAAATTACATTAACAACTGAAATCTCCTTCAGCTTCAGCACTGCATACCTCCCTCAGTCAATGTAGTGAGGGACTTTGCTGAAGCTGGTAATAGCTTTCAAGCACTGGAAAAATATTTCCTCAGTTTTGTGACTGCACTTGACTTCTGTTGGATTTTACAATATTTATCGGGCAATAGAATTCCCTGTCAATAGCAAGAAAATCTGGCCCAACCATGGTAAAAATATTGGTGTATTTAAGTCCCTCTCAGGCTACCTAGTCTGCTGATTTGTCATTCTGTCGCTTTTCCACACTACTGCCTTTAATCCTCTGAAAACAAGACTCAAAACTTTCCTGTTCATGGAGAATGTTTCCCCTTGTCTCTTTGTAGTTGCTACCTCTCACTTCCGAGGTGAATAAAACTATCATTTCTCTTTTAGGCCAATGATATTTAACTCTCTTCAGGCTCCAGCCTATCCATATAAATACAGTGTTTTCTTAAATGGCAAATATGGAGCATTAAGAGTTATTAAATATTGTGTCAGTCCTTGAAGCCCAAGTCGAGTGTGACTCACTAGTCCAACACTTTTTTTAGATGTAATTTGCATATTCAGATCTACAACAAAATGATTCAGTATTCATATATATTATGAAATAATCACCAGAAAAATGTCTAGTCAATATCCATCAACACAGGTAACAAAATTTTCTTCTTTTGATGAGAACAGTTAAGATCAACCCTCTTCGGAGAAGGAAATGGCAACCCACTCCAGCATTCTTGCCTGGAGAATCCCATGGATGGAGAAGCCTGGCAGGCTACAATCCATGGGGTCACAAAGGGTTAGACACGACTGAGCAACTTCACTTTCACTTTGCTGGGAATATCTACAGTGCAAACAGGAAAAAAAAAAAATCAACCCTCTTAGCAACTTTCAAGTATGCAATACGGTATTAACTATAGTCACCATGTTGTATATTACATCCCAATGACTTTATAACTGGAAGATTGTACTTTTGACACCCCCTTCACCCATTTCACCCTTACCCTCTCCCCCAACTCTGGCAACCACCTACCTGTTCTCTATGAATTTTATTTTTTTTCCTATTGTTTTAGATTGCATGTATAAGTGAGATCATATGGTATTTGTCTTTCTCTGACACTTCACTCAGCATAATATCCTCAAGTTGCAAATGGCAAGGTTTCCTCTTGGCTGAACTCTATTACACACCCACATTTTCTTTATCCATTTATCTGTCGATGGGCACTTAGTTTGCTTTCATGTGTTGGTTATTGTAAGTAATGCTGCAGTGAACAGGGGTGTACAGGTATCTTTGAGTTAGTGTTTTTGTTCATTTGGGTAAATACCAAGGAGTAGACTTGCTGGATCATGTTAATGAATCTCCATACTGTTTCCCATAGTGACAGTACCTATTTACATTCCTACCAGCAGTGTACAAGCACTCTCTTTTCACCACATCCTCACCAACATTTATTTCTTGCCTTTTGGTAATTGCCATTCAAACAGGTTTGAGGTGATATCAGTCTGGTTTTAATTTGCATTTTCCTAATAATTGGTGATACAGAGCACCTTTTCATGTTACCTATCAGCCATCTGTATGTCTTCTTTGCAAAACTGTCTATTCAGATCCTCTGCCCATTTTTTTAATTGGTTTTTTTTTTTCTGTCAAGTTGTATAAGTTCTTTATACTTTTGAATACTAACTCCCCCATCAGCCATGTGGTATTATCTCCCATTTCGTAGGTTGGTTGTCTTTTCATTTTGTTGATGGCTTTCTTTGCTGAACAGAAGCTTTTTTAAAGTAATGTGGTCTGACTTTTTTTTTTTTTTGCATTTTTCATCACCAAGACCAATATCAAGTAGATTACCCTTCATGTTTTCTTCTAGGAGTTTTTATGTTTTCTTCTAGAAGTTTTGTTTCAGGTCTTATGTTCAACTCTTTAATCCATTTTGACAGTTTTTGTGTATGATGGTAAGAGAGTGGCCCAGTTTCATTCTTTTGCTTGTGTTCCAGTTTCCTTAATGCTGTTCATTGAAGGGACTGTCCTTTCCCCATTGTATATTCTTGGTTCCTTTGTTGTAAATAAATTGACCATATATGCATGGGTTTATTTTTGGACTCTGTTCCATTGATCTGTATGTCTGTTATATGCAAATAACATACTGTTTTGATCATTATGGTTTTGTAATATAGTTTAAAATCAGAAAGTGTGATGCTTCCAGCTTCACTCTTCTTTCTCAACATCACTTTGGCTATTGGGCGTCTATTTTGGTTGGTTCCACATGAATTTTAGGATTGTTTGTTCTATTTCTGTGAAAAATATCATTGGAATTTTGGTAGGAATTGCATTGAATCTCCAGGTTGCTTTTTTTTTTTGACTTAGAGAAACATTTAATTTTTTATTTTTTTAAGTAGCAGACAATAAGTCATTTTTTTTCCATTTATTTTTATTAGTTGGAGGCTAATTACTTTACATCATAACAGTAGTTTTTGTCATACATTGAAATGAATTAGCCATGGATCCAGGTTGCTTTCAATTGTGTAGTACAGCGTCAAAATCTAAAGTAGCTTCTCAAAAGGGCTTCTTACCTCAGTGAAAATGTTGGTTCCCAGCCTTCAGCACTGGGTTATCAACCAACACAAACCCTTGATAGGCACAGCCTGACCCACGGGCAGTAAAATCTTGTAAGGGATTCTGAAGACCCTCAATAAGGATCACTAGTCACTTCCAGAAAATGGAAAAAAGAATTTGAGGGGGATTCTGTTTTTTAACCATTGAAACGTGAGCTTATATTCTCTTTAAAGTGATGTTAAAGATAGAATTTCAGGAATGTTTGTAATTTGTTTTAAAAATAAATGTAGGGAAGAAAACAAGTACTGTATTGATTCATCAGAGACTCTGAGAAAGCACGGCTACCATATGACCCAGCAATTCCACTCCTGCATATATACCTGAAAAAAGTTAAAACACTAAGTCAAAAAAATAACATGCACCCCAATGTTCTTATTTACAGTTGCTCAGATATGAAAGCAACCTAAGTATCCATCAACAAATACATGCTTGCAGCAACATGGACCTGAAGGATATTAAGAAATCAGAGAAAGACTGTATGATATTACTTACATGTGAAATCTAAAAAAGTAATGAATATAATAAAAGGAACACAGAAATAAGAGAACAAACTAGCTGTTACCAGTGGGGAGAGGGAAGCAGGGAGGGTTAATGTAGGGATAGAGGCTTAAGAGGTACAAACTATCGTGTATAAAATAAGTTACAAGGATATATTGTACAACACAATATAATCTATCTTATAGTAGCTATAAATGGAGTTTAACCTTTTAAAACTTTTAGATTGCTGTATCATACACCTGTAACTATTGTACATCAACTGTACTTCAATTATTAAAATAATAATCTTTTTTAAAAAGATTGATTCATCAGAGCATTGATTCATTAGAGACTCTAGAAAAGCAATGCCTTCAACCACAAAGAAGGTCTCCCTTGGCAGAGAGATAGAGGTCTTAATCTCAAGGTCCAAGCAATACCCAGGCAGTGTTCCAGCACTAGACCGGTTTCCACGAAACTCTCTGCATCTAGCTCCTTAGCATTCCCTGATAAGAGAAAAAGTCAGCCACACTCCCCACCAGATTTTCCCAATATCTGGTCTGGAAACAGGAGGGGGGCAATCTGAAAGAAAGGTCTGTGGCCTTGGGAATGGCTGAAAGCTACTTGGGTGGGTGAAAATTATGACCCTGCTAGGATCCAGATGTTAACATGGGAATATGTTGGAACCTCTTCCTATCATTATCCACCCTAATACCCCAACTTTGAGTTTGTCATCCCAGTATTGTCTAACACCTTGTTTATGTGGCTTGTTTACCTACTGACAGAAAGGGAGGGTATACATCCAAAGAGAGGCTGCTTTCCTGGAATTTCTATTTCAGAAACTCAAGCGCGCATCCCAGCGGGAGCAGAAAAGGTTGCAACCATGTTACCACAGCCTAAATTTCCTACAGTTCACATTATCCACCTTGCCTTTTCTTCTCCGTGTGCCTGGGGACACGTAATTCTCGGAGAAGGTGAACCGTACCTGGTCCCCTGATTCCTCCAGGATGCAGAGAGAGCAGTTTTGAAATATTAGCCAAGATTCTCTTTCAGATGGGAAAGGTTCAGCTCTGGGCAGCTGATTTGAATGGACATGGGGATTGTGATCAGGGATAGAATCAGAGCTCAGAGAAGCGCGTCATAGAACTAGTTATAATCACAGCTTCCCCATCTAGAGAACCGAAGTCCAGAGCAACATCCATCAAAACCCTCCAGAAAAGTCGAGGGAAGCCTTCACCTGCGCACTGAGCAGATCTTGTTTCCCGTCTTTTGGTTTGGTATTTGGCAATTTAGGTCCTAAGAATGGCTTCTGATTTTCCCAGCGTTCTG